ACAGATGCCTTAGAAATATTACTGGCGTCTGCTGGTATCACCGGGTAAGTAATAGTGAGGTTAGACGCAGGGTATTAGGAAATGATGGTAAATCAGTTGATGAGGTCATGAATCTTCATCGACTGAGATGGTTGGGCCACGTGTTACGTATGCCTGAACACCGACTACCACGACGTGCAATGCTAACCGGTGCTGGAGATGGTTGGAAGAAAGTTAGGGGCGGCCAAATCAAAACGTGTCATCAGTGCTTGAAGTCACTAACTTCTGGTCTGAGTCATGTTGGTAGATGCAGACTACTTGGTGACATGGCTCAGTATTTCGCGCGCTAGATTCATTGACAATGTTGACACCTGAGGAGGAAGTTTAGAGTTGATAGTCAAAGTCAGAGGGATAATAGGAATTGAGGAGGGAAGATTATTTTGAATACTGTGGTCCTCAGCGCTGTTAGAAGTATAAGGACGGTTCTCACTTCCCGGTTGTCCAAACTGTAAAAGGATTCTTCTAGAGGCACCTAGAAAGAAAGTTGGGTTGGAATTGGTCCCGAGAACGTGGCCGCAATACCCAAAGACAACTGTTTGGGGTAATTTTTGTGTTAGCTCCGTACTTGTTGAGACCTTACCGCCGGAGACGGATATCCGTGCGACAAGGCGAGGTGTGCATTTATAGGGTTGACATTTTTTAACCCCACGCTTCTTTGCGGAAATGCAGTATCGTTGTTATGCCATTTGTCCGGGGGAAACAAATTACTGCCGTCACAAGTATGTACACAGAGCAGTACGACTTCGCCTTCGTACCTTGGGTTTTCTGCTTTTAGTCTTACCGCTCTTCAACTGTCCTGTCTGGTATAGTAGGACCTTGAGGAACGATCGTTCCAGCCAGTATAGCTCGATTGGTTCATCACGACAGGCAAGCCCGACCACCACGTCTAGGTAGCAGCAGCAGTCGAGAAGTTCTGATCCGAGCAACAGTGTTCGGGTAGAACCTTACAAGGTTTACTTACTTCTTTGTCTGCCTTTTAATGATAAACACAATAAATTTTTCTAGTTAACATAGTCGGATGGTGCCTTAACGTTACGAAACACAATTACAGTTTGGTATCGGTACATCTACCTTCTAAAACTGAAGGGTGACTGTTTGGTCAATACATTCAGGCACATATATGAAACTACCCTGATTTTGAAGGATTTGCTCTCCACGGGTCCTACTTAAGCGTCAGGTGCTTGTTAACGCTAACAATCTAGATAACACCAGTTAAACTGATTTCTCTGTAGTTGTTACCAGAGGATTTATACTCATTGGAACGATCAGTTATCTATAACAGTCAGATGAAACCACGTTCAACCCCCTAATGTTCTTTAGTATCTCAATCAGTTAAACAGTTAAAACTGGATGATTTTTAAATATCTCCGGTGTTAGTCCACCGAAGCCTGCTGTTCTCACGCTTTAGATCACCTACAGTCTTTGGACCGCACTAAGATTTGGGGGAGTAGTGTTAATTTTCTATTCTGGTTAATGGGTGACTGGAGGCCAGTTGAGTTGCTCCCTAAAGTATCCTGTTAATTGATCTAATATGCTGGACTGGGCGAATAATAGTTGCATCTGGTTCAGAGACAGTCTCACGATCGCCTGCCTTTCTAATACGTTTACTTGATCAGTTGGAATAATAATCTTGTGTTAGTCGAAATGGACAACACCGGGTATGAGGATATCATGGGACGAAGTGGACTGGGATGTGCCTTCAAAAAATGGTTATATGTGGCACTACATTACCCCACAACGCATACACAAAGCTACATGATTTTCACCGGATCACACTACAGATAGAAAGATCGATCGGTGAAACTCTACTTTATGGACGACCTTTGAACGAATTTTTAAGTGACCTTGAGAACATTGGCCAATCAGAAGAGAGTTAGTATAAAGTAAAAATATATTATAAAAAAGTGATGAATTACAATGGATATTCTTCTTTTAAATTATTTAAGAACTTGTTGAGGTTTGATATAGGTTCAGAAGTTTTGAAATCATAGTGCATGCAGTATAAGAACGCGTCTATATGACTCCATAATAATCGTCCTCTGGAGCCGTGGTAGGAACTTAAAACATACTTCAGCCTTGACCACACGCCCTCAATGTTGTTTGTATGGACCCCCGTCGTTGGATCAACAAAATGACGTTTGTGCACCACAACATGATGCACAAAACCAAGTCTGGAGAGGCATCTATACACTTTCCAATCATCGGTATAGCCGCAGCTAATGTTACTGGAGACTTTATGATCCAGTTTGCAACGATTATCATGGTTTGTCTTAGCCTTAGCCGTGACTGGGCAAAAAAGGTGCCAGTTCGAGCAGTTTTTTTCTACAACATATAGTACAACGAAATACAATGTCATCGCGGCAGTATGCACATCGTGCTGCGGTCATTTAATTGCCGCAGTCACAGACACAGGAACTTCCTAATCGTCCCATCTGCTGTAGTCTCTCAACGATCACCTATTCTCTAAATTCTGCTGTAAAACGATCGAATGTGAGCATCTCACATTGAACTTAGCGCCGTGACCTTGAAGCTCTGATTGGCTCGTCCATAAATTAGAGTCCTACCGATCGATCATATAAGTGTCACAAAAAAAAATTCAGAAGATCCATAGAAGACGTGAAAACAAAGGGAGGAACTGATATCGCTTGAGATACCATCTGGTGGTTTCCAAGAGGAAACTGAAGCGGAGAAAACATTAGGAAACCGGAGGAACAACATTGTAAAGGTTTAATACAGCCTTTCCAGATACTAACTCAAAGAATTCAATATAGCTATCAGGTTCCAAGCTTTACATGATCCACGACTATGCAGAACAACTGGAAAGAGATCAAAGAAACACTAACTTCAAAGTAACGGGATATTCTGGGTCGCAGGAAGCATCATCATAAGGTATGAATATCTATCGAAACTCTGGGTAGGATTCAAGGAAGGAAAAACAAAAAGACAGCAGCCAACAATAGACGAACAAAAGCAGAGATGATAGAGGCAAAAACTGAACACATAGAGGAGAACTGCAGCTGACAAGCAGAAATACATGGAACACATAGCAGTGTAGGAAGCCACAAGAGAAGGAAATATCAAACAACTGAATGGCACAATGAAGAAACTAACAAAGAAATATAGTAAACCAGAGGGACCGGTTAAAAACGGAAGGAAAGTTGATCACTGCGATTCAAGAACAGAGGAAGTTGGATGGAGCACTCTGAAGAACTCTTGGATTGGCCAACTCAAAGGAATCCATTGGAGATCGAAGCAGCATACACAAACTATCTAACAGATATCATTTCACCAACAATCGAACAAATCAATATATCTACCAGACAAGAATGGGAAAGCAGTTGGACCTGACAATATACCATCCGAAGCACTAAAATCAGACATAGGACTTACTACAAGTATGCTTCACGTTCTACTCAGGATGATTTAGAAGGAAGAAAAAGTGCCGATGGACTGAAAAGAAGAATATCTCCACCCAACTTCCTCTGTTCTTGAATCGCAGTGATCAACTTCCCTTCTGTTTTTAACCGGTCCCTCTGGTTTCCTATATTTCTTTGTTAGTTTTTTCATTGTGCCATTAAGGTGTTTGATATTTCCTTCTCTTGTGGCTTACTACGCTGCTATGTGTTCCATGTATTTCTGTTTGCGAGGACTCCAGAGGCATTACACTACAGTTGTCTATGCAAGATACTCAATATCTGTTGGATGGATACCATCAGCAGCAGCCTACTGTATCAAAGAACAAGTCGGTTTCCAACTGAATAGGAAATTAGGGAAAGACGCTGAAGATGAGTAGGACATACATTGTGGAAATCATCAAACTAAATCACGAGGCAAGTCCCTACTTGGAATTTCCCAAGTAATCTCAATCTTCAGTCCAGATTGTTTACTTAAATACTTGTTTAGTTTTCTGAGCCAGGCGGTTTGGTCGTGGAGCTTTTATTGTTCTTCGGGACATCAACAGCACAAACTTTAAGCACGGTTATGCTAATGTTGTTAAGAATGATGAAGGCTCCACGGCCAAACTATCCACTTAAGTAGGATCTTACTTCGGTTATAATGGACAGCTGATTGATTTTTCAGTGACCAACATGATCGTCATCAAAAAACACCAGTGTAATGCTACAATAGCTTAGGACAGAAAATGCGTTCCGAAACAGACGGGTCCGTCTCTACAGAACCTTCAAATGTTAACTGGTGCGTAACATATCCTATCAACTTCTGCTTCCGGTCTGGTGAGAAGTTTGCTTGATGTCGATCCAGGCGTCATATTTAATGGAGCTTCATTGAACGTCAAGCTTTTTCGTGAAACTCATGTCTGAAGTGGGGAGTATTCTGAGCCAGATATATACACAATTACGTTAAGATTTCTCCAGTGTTGCATTCAGTTTGCTGTGTTCTTGGAAAGGCAAAGATAACAATGCTTCTGAACAATTGGTAGTAAGATGTCAACTTGAAGTTACAATAACTATATGAAACTCTAACTATCGAAAAAGCTGTACTTTCGAAACCAAAATCACAGCCAATATAACATGACATATGGACAGGGAAATAAAGACAGAGCACCAAAGTCCGCGAATAGTACCAATGATTGAACTTATCACTCCCACAAACTACTCTTGATGACAGCTATCCCAAAATTGAGAATCAATTAGACGGACAAGCATTCAGGTTCATGTGTCAAAGTGAAATGTACTAAAAATAATCAGATAGTTACTCAGTCGTCAAGAAAACCTGGACCAACAATCTTAATTCTGGACATAACAAAAACCTTATTTTAAAGTACAATATACTAACAGTTCTTGCACAAGTACCGGGTTAGTTAAGTTAGTCGTCTGGGGAGGTTTGCTGTTTCGTCCAAGAATGCCAGATCGACAGAATAACGTTTACAAAAGATTTTCGAACCAAGACGACGAGAAAATAACGGTTTGAATATAAATACTTACATCTCAACTCATATATTTCTCAGTTAGTAAGTTAAATATCGTGGAAAAAACCGACTTGCATTTTACGACGATTTATGAAGACAGCAAACAGTATACACATTAAAATCTTATTTACTTTACAGCATTGTGGCAGACTCAAAAGATGGTCTTATAATATTGATAATTTATCGAGTTTTTCTTTTATCTGTAGCTGAACTGGTTTCTAATTTCTCCATAAGTTCATTGATGTCGTGAGCCTCAATATCAGTTTTTATGCCGTCGAGACTTGATTTCAGCGTCATTCGCGTTGTCGCATATAATATTCTTGTCATGGGTAGTGCGGAATCGGACACTCTAGAATAACAAGTTAAGAAACATAAATGACTTCATACAATGAGAAGTATATTAAGTTCGATCCTTTAACACCTTCACATTCATGGTCTAATACACCATAGCACCCCGTGTGTTGATGCTTCATAACTTCATCTTGAAATTGTGATATAGTTTCGCCTAGGCGGGTAAATTACATTAAATTGAAAACAACCTCTAGGAGCAGTTTTAATTACATCTATTTGATTATTAACGATTTGAAACAAGATATATCGGTGACAGTGGTCCATTTTCAGTTCCTTATACGTGGCTTCACATTTTGCTGAGGGTTTAATACCTGAAGACTGATCGGTGATAAAAATAAAACAATTTCATGTACCATGTCTGGAGATATATGCAGTAAAGACCAGAAACCACTATACTACCTACCGAATTCGGATTTGTGCGCCTTTTGAAGGTCAATTAAAAGTAATCATTAAGCAAGAATGAACTTCTTATTTTTATCCCGGTTTTGACGTGAAAACGTCTTCCAACTTAGGAATAACCCATCTTCTTAAATTCAATCGAAATAAGTGACCATGTGACAAATAAGACTATTTTTAAAAGTTTTTACGGCGAATTACCTATTCCATTGTCAGTTTGGAAAGGACACGAGACCATGTGTCCTCTGTTAGTCCTGGAAATTGTAGTTCCTTAGTTGATGCAACTTTGTTTTGAAAGAGTCGACAGACGGGGTTTCAATCACGTATTGAGGGAATGATTTCCACTCGATGATTCGATGGGAAGGTCAAGTGGTTCAAATGGTTGTGGACGGAATAGTAGCTTTCGCTTAACGGGCTTCCGTGCCTAGTAGCAGTGGATAGTCATTTGATAATAAAACGAAAAATTATGTGAATGAGTTAATTAAACAACATGTATGATCTGTATCAACTCCGCCTGGAGTCCCTCCGGGGGCTACTGCCGGTCCCAAGCCCGGATAAAGGAGGAGGGTTGGGCATGGGGTTAGCGTCCCCATCCCGTAGAAAACTAACTCGCTAAAAAAACGCTAACCAGAAAAAATTATTCAAACCTTTTAAACTCTGCCCTGGGAGTCAGAAGATCTTCATTTAGAAGAATTATGACGCTTCATGATGAAAGCCAATCCCTTCGGAAGTTATGAGGCCGATGCCCCTTCTGACAACCAGAGCAACCATTTATTTAGGTACATGGAATGTTCGTACAATGTGGGACACCGGAAGAGCCTTCCAGATTGCTGCAGAAATGAGAAGATACAACCTGGAGGTGCTTGGGATCAGTGAAACACATTGGACACGAGTTGGACAACAACGACTAACTACAGGAGAGCTCCTGTTATACTCCGGCCATGAAGAAGAAAATGCACCACATACACAAGGAGTTGCATTGATGCTGTCCAAACAAGCACAAAATGCACTTATAGGATGGGAATCTCATGGACCAAGGATCATCAAAGCCTCGTTTAAAACAAAGAAAGAGGGCATTTCAATGAACATCATCCAATGCTATGCGCCTACCAACGACTACAATGAAGACACTAAAGACCAATTCTACAATAGGCTGCAGTCAATAGTCGAGAAGTGCCCAACAAAGGACCTGACCATTCTGATGGGAGATTTCAACGCCAAGGTTGGAACGGACAACACTGGATATGAAGACATCATGGGACGACACGGACTGGGAGAACGAAACGAAAATGGTGAGAGATTTGCAAATCTATGTGCCTTCAATAAGCTGGTCATAGGCGGCACTGATCAAAATACCGAAGAAAGGCGATCTCAGCAAGTGTGATAACTACAGGGGCATCACTCTTCTCTCAATACCGGGCAAAGTCTTCAACAGAGTATTGTTAAACAGGATGAAGGACTGCGTAGACGCCCAACTTCGTGACCAACAGGCAGGATTCCGTAAGGATAGATCGTGTACAGACCAAATCGCAACTCTACGGATCATTGTGGAACAATCAATTGAATGGAATTCATCACTCTACATCAACTTCATTGACTACGAAAAGGCATTTGATAGCGTGGACAGAACAACACTATGGAAACTTCTTCGACACTACGGCGTGCCTCAGAAGATAGTCAATATCATACAGAACTCATATGATGGATTACACTGTAAAATCGTGCATGGAGGACAGTTGACAAAGTCATTCGAAGTGAAGACCGGTGTTAGGCAAGGTTGCTTACTCTCACCCTTTCTCTTTCTCCTGGTGATCGACTGGATCATGAAGACGTCAACGTCTGAAGGAAAGCGCGGGATACAATGGACATCTAAGATGCAGTTGGATGATCTAGACTTCGCAGACGATCTGGCCCTTCTATCCCAAACGCAACAACAGATGCAGGAGAAGACGAACAGTGTGGCAGCAGCCTCAGCAGCAATAGGTCTCAATATACACAAAGGGAAAAGCAGGATTCTCCGATACAACACAGAATGCACCAATCCAATCAAAATTGACGGAGAAGATTTGGAAGATGTAAAAACCTTTACGTATTTGGGCAGCATCATTGATGAACACGGTGGATCTGATGCAGATGTGAAGGCGCGGATCGGCAAAGCAAGAGCAGCATATTTACAACTGAGGAACATCTGGAACTCAAAGCAACTGTCAACCAACACCAAGGTCAGGATTTTCAATACAAATGTCAAGACAGTTCTACTGTATGGGGCAGAAACCTGGAGAACTACAAAAGCCATCATCCAGAAAATACAGGTGTTTATTAACAATTGTCTACGCGAAATACTTCAGATCCATTGGTCGGACACTATTAGCAACAACGTACTGTGGGAGAGAACAAACCAGGACCCAGCGGAGGAAGAAATCAGGAAGAAGCGCTGGAAGTGTATAGGACACACATTGAGGAAAGCACCCAACTGTGTCACAAGACAAACCCTCACATGGAATCCTGAAGGTCAAAGGAAAAGAGGAAGACCAAAGAACACATTACGCCGAGAAATGGAGATAGACATGATAAAAATGAACAAGAATTGGATGGAACTAGAAAAGAAGGCCCAGGACAGAGTGGGTTGGAGAATGCTGGTCAGCGGCCTATGCTCCTTTGGGAGTAACAGGCGTAAGTAAGTAAGTAGTGATCTGTATCAAGTGATTCTGACCAACCAGCTAACGTCGGGGGAACACCTTACAGATAGTACCTTCCATGAATTAACCTTTCCTATTTTTCAGGTACTATGGCTGCTTTGATGACCGTACATTACAAATGACGCTATTACATTAATATATTGGTACAGTGGACATGCTCAATGGTTGTTACTGATCTTGACGAGGATCATGAACTGTTTGATATTCTATGATGATGGGTGATTTGGCTAGCGCCCACTTGCATTTCTTTGGCCACACAGATAGATAGATAGATATCCGACCATGTTTGAATGAATCATTGTTATTCACACTTGTATATAATTGGTGACACAAGCCACTTTCGGAACCAAAGTTATCCAGGAGACGTTTCAACCGGGTTGCAGTTTTGCTGCGACGAAGGCTTTCTGGGAGTCTGTTCCATATGGTTAAATAGTGAATAACGGAGAAATTCTGACATCGTTTATGTAGGTCCTTGGAATCGAAAGAATATTCATTTATTGTGTAAGCCGTGGGATTATGTAATAGAGTACGAAGGGATGGATGCCAAAGAATAATGAATACTATTTAAAAGCCTGAAGTCAATGAAAAAGTTTGTTTAATATGCCTGATCTAGAGAGGTTTTAACTTGAGATTGTCGGAATAACACAAAATACCTTTAGTGAATTTTGTGTGAACAACCAGTTCTCATCAAGATATTATGCTTGCAACGCTGTAGGCTAGAATACCACATACAATGACGGGCATGATACTTTTTTCACATAATGATAATAATCCAGGTTCTATATTATTAAAATTGATCATAATGAATTTAATGAACCTTCCTGTTTTGGATACTGGTGATGCCATATGTTCGGAAAAATTGAAACTATGCAATGTGGAGTATGAGAGTCTAGTCATTAACCCATGTTGAAATGGGCTAATCAGGTCCAACATCTGTGGATGATTTTTCCAAGATCCTTGATTGCATGGATGTCAGGGTAATGAGCCTATAGTTAGCAATATCGCTATGTGATCCCATTTTGAACTTGGGGGTGGTAAGCGATGTTTTCCGTACTGATGGACAAGCCCTATAGTCCGTGGATAGGTTGGACAGTTTTAGACAGGATAATGGAACTTCTCTACCACCACATTTCAAGAGTGATGCAAGAATGCCACTAGGTCCACCGTCGTAAATTTCTTCAGAGAAGTTCGGAGCTGGTTGATAGTGATAGATGTAAAATCAATTGTGGATAGATGCCTATATGTCAACGTTAGAAGCGTATTGAAAGGTGTTTCGGTTTCTGTGTTGTGGCATCAAGAGAAACGGTGGCTGCATTGTTCACAAACGGTGTTATGGTTGTCTATAATGCTGCCGTTAATTATGAAAAGATTGATGTATTAAGAGAATTTGATTTCGTGCAAGGTTTGAAAAGCCCAAATGTTGATAAGTCTGGGTTTTTGCTGTCTAAATCTCTATTCTCCACAGCCATAAGATACCTGGGCCGAGATAAATGATTTGTAGTGGTATTAGACTCTAACCACACAATCCTCAAAGCTGAACACGAGACGAATGGGAAAATAGATATTCAACACTTAACGCAGGGAAAAACCCAACGATTGTGAAGACAGGAGGAAGGAATTCAATTGAATCTAATCGGGTGGCATGGCTCAGCATTACAGGTGTGGTTATTCTGCATGACATGTTTTACTCATATTATACATGTTGTTTAATCTCCGGCCTGGATGTGTTCTCCATCATATAATGGTAATTGTTAAGATATGATGCCTCAGCGTAGATAATGATGTGACTTCCACGAAAGATCTTGTAGATTAGGTAGTTCAGTCAGTCAGTCACCTAAAACATAGGGTCAGGCACATATATGCATCGATCTCAGTTGCCATACCGCATTAGCACAACAAGAAGGACACCGGATTGATAGAAGAATTTACTTCAATGGTAGTAAAAATGATTTCATATAAGTGAACGGTACAGAGAGAAAGAATAAGTTGGTAGAAAGAAAGATATGAAGCGATTTTAATCTCTTAGTTTAAGGAAAGACAGAGAGTGTATACACCGACGCCATTGTGATCGATTCTGAGCCATGTCACCAAGTAGTCTGCATCTACCAACATGACTCAGACCAGAAGTTAGTGACTTCAAGCACTGATGACACGTTTTGATTTGGCCGCCCCTAACTTTCTTCCAACCATCTCCAGCACCGGTTAGCATTGCACGTCGTGGTAGTCGGTGTTCAGGCATACGTAACACGTGGCCCAACCATCTCAGTCGATGAAGATTCATGACCTCATCAACTGATTTACCATCATTTCCTAATACCCTGCGTCTAACCTCACTATTACTTACCCAGTGATACCAGCAGACGCCAGTAATATTTCTAAGGCATCTGTGGTCAAATAATAGTAGCTTACGAGGCAGTTACATCATGACAAACCTAAAATCTCGGGATAGGGTCTATTCTTAGAGCAGTACTAC